CCTGAAGAACTATTTGATCATTCTTTTGTAATTTTTTTCGTATACCAGCCAATTTGCTCCTGTGTATCGGCTTTTGATGTGTCATGATCCGTGGGATTATTTCCAGTTTCATCTCCCGCCTTGTATCTTCTGGATATTTACCTACTAAGTTGACAACTTCCACCAGAATATCACTAAGAACGTAAACTTCATTGCCTAGTGAAAAATGTAGTCCCTTCTTTAAGAGATCTGTAGTTTCAGAATCCAGAGGGATTGAAGATAGGTTTACTACCTTTGTCCTATCACCGTCTGTAGTAGTTGATGCCTTCAATAAAGAACCATCAAAATTTGCCCGAGATGGCTATGTCTTATTATCCCATAGCTAAGCAATTTCTTGTCATGCCGCTTATTTATCAGATCTCTGACCCTCTGTGACTTCTGGTCGGTTATGCTCTGAAGTTTTTTTGAAAATCATCCAAAGTAAGAATCATACCTAGATCCTCCCTTAATCTAGACTTGAGATCTATTAACTTAAATAGTTTACGCCTCTCAGTCTCGTAACTTTCCTGTAATTTCTGGATGGAGGCGTGATAAAGTATTCCATTAACTGTGTCCGAATGACACTTCGTCATTAGATTGCAGAAACGGGGAACGATACCATAATGTTAGCAACAATTTATAAAGGCCAAAAAAGTGATTTTGATGTTTAGCAGCAGCCAATTGACAAACTGGTAGGAAAAATAGGGGGACAGAATGTGGGCCAGGAGCCCAGCAAACTGTACCTGGTACCAGTAATGTAGATGATTATGCTTCATTAAACCCACTTGTTGCGACACACTCTTAGGTGACATTGAAGGAAACAAGAGCACAGAATTGTGTGAGTGGATGGTCTATATAAGTGAGGTTGAGAGAAAAAAGATGTGATACTAGAAGATAGAAGAAAAAATAATGGCGAGGAATGATGCTACAACGGTTGAACAGAAAATTAATCAAGGAGATTGCCTTCACTTGTCACTTTGATAAGTTGTAACTCTGTCCTTACTTTTGGCGCCTCTCTCTGACGATGCTGGCGAAACGTTTGGGAATGTACCCAGCCAGTGGTCCAATGTTGGAAATCACGAACACTATGGCAGAGGACACGGGACTAGGTACCATCTACAAGGTCTCCCAAACGCTCCAACAAAGTGGCGAAAAAAAGATCGAACCAGCGTTATAAATCTAAAAGAGACGGTGACCAAACAAAAGGCCAAACCATCTTGGTCTTAATATCTACGTTCATCAAATAAAGTCTACATAGAACAACGAAAGTGTGTGCGTGCAGTCGCTTGTCAGCGTCCTCCGAAGAGGCAAGTCTGTCTTTATCCTCAAAGAAGACATTTCCAGGAAGAATTGTCTAAGTGATGAGTAAATTCCTATAGCTTCGACAAAAGCCTTAACAATCGGATGGATTATTTGCTACGTTCATTGTTCCATTTACTGTAACTATCATCCATTATGAATAAAAGAAGCTTCTCTACGTAGAAAACATGCACCAATGCATAACCAAGACTAACACTAAAATCTGTGATTTCACATGCACTCGGTGGTACACCGATATACCTATAAGATGTCTCGGCGACAATTGTAGCCAGAGTACTGGTTATAGCACCTGCAGAAGCCAAGCAAAGTACATCTTCTGGCGACCAGGCATTGGCCAGATTGATGCGATAAAGACGAATCATCTGGCCGCTATTTGGATAGCAATGATAAGAAAGTATGAGGCCACTGTCAGTGCCTGCCCAGAGGCGCGGGATAGCCGATGACTCAAAGGCTAATGAGGTGACACCGCCATGACCCAAATGACCCGAGAGCTCAACTTGACAACTACGATCGGCAAACGGAAGTTGCTGGTTGTAGAGAGAGGAGGCTAAAGAGGAAGGGGAGGGGCCAGATATAGTAGTAGAATGCTCGATTGACGATCCAAAAAGCAGACTGATATAACCAGAGTCGGCACGATCGCGACCTGCCTTCACAGGCTTTCCGGTAGATAAATTCATCACCTGAAGAAAATTGAATAAAGGCGTTGTGAATAATGGGGAAGTGAAAGCAAGTTTAAATAAGCTATTATAGGGCTTTTAATAAGTAAAAGAAGCCGGTATAATATAAAGTAATTTTCCCGAAAATAAAATGTGAGTCACAATATTTCATCAAAATACATGCATTGGAGACATACATTCAAGATGAATATAAGGACGTTATAAGATGAAAAATAAATAGGTGTGGCCAGGCTAATTAAATATGGCCAGGGCAATAGTGCAAAAAGGAAAAGTCATAATAAAAGTCCGATTCATGCTTCATTTCAGCTTGAGAGTACAAGATAAACGGAGGGATACAAGATAAACAATGTTTCCTTATGACAAAGTTACTTAGTATCTGCATAAATCGGTTATATTACAATTTACTATTATTTGGTTAAATAATGTTAACCAATATAAAATCCCGTTATGGGCGCTAATGAGACCTAGGCGAGGCCAAAACTGCAGTCTACCCCGGATGGCAATACCTTTTGGGATCCCAGGCTAAGTAAAATTCAATGGCATTGTAAGGCCTGTTCCACCAAGACTCGGCGGATTCCTCTTGACCAACTTTTGATTGGCTTTACTGGAAGATTCATGCTGACGCTGTTACGTACGTATGGTATGAATTCTTATCAACTTTCTTCTGGCTATACGAAAACCAAGAAATCTATATCCCGGCAGGTCAATACTATAAGATTTTTAAAAATATGTATTTCACATAATGCAGTTCCTCAATGTTTTATTCTTGGTAGTCGTCAATATTTACCTATTTCCACTAATAGGAAACTGGAGCATGTATCAGGTGCTTTAGTTAAGACTAGACTCAAATAAAGTATAGACAAATTACATGAACTGATTAGAACCAAAACAAGGACTAGACTATCCCTTTCTCAGCTATTTTCTCAGAAAGACTTTATCAAATTGCAGAAAATGTCGGATGA